TTTCAAAAAATCATATTAACTGTATTTTTAAGAATCTTGATATGATATGTATGTTAAATTGCAGCTTAAAGATTCTAGTTTATGATGTGATATAAAAATTATCAGATAATATTATTGAAATTTCCAGGAAAAAGTTATAAAAGAAGCAATTCTCAAATTTATTAATATAGAATAACTCTAAATTTAAAAAGATCATATCGACTGTATTTTTAAGGTTCATAAAATGATTTGTATGTTAAATTGAAGCTTCAAGATTCTCGTTTATGACAGGATATAAAAACTATATGATGATATTAATGAAATTTTCAGAAAAAAATTATTAAAGAAGAAATTGTCAAATTTATAAATCAAACATAATACAAATTTTCAAAAAATCATATTAACTGTATTTTTAAGAATCTTGATATGATATGTATGTTAAATTGAAGCTTAAAAATTCTAGGTTATGATACAATATAAAAATTATGAGATAATATTATTGAAATTTCCAGGAAAAAGTTATAAAAGAAGCAATTCTCAAATTTATGAATAAAAAATAACTCTAAATTAAAAAAAAAACATATCGACTGTATCTTTAAGGTTCATGATATGATTTGTATGTTAAATTGAAGCTCAAAGATTCTCGTTTATGATATGATATAAAAACTGTGTGATGATATTAATGAAATTTCCAGAAACAAATTATTAAAGAAATAGTCAAATTTATAAATCAAACATAATGCAAGTTTTCAAAAAATCATATTAACTGTATTTTTAAGAATCTTGATATGATATGTATGTTAAATTGCAGCTTAAAGATTCTAGTTTATGATGTGATATAAAAATTATGAGATAATATTATTGAAATTTCCAGGAAAAAGTTATAAAAGAAGCAATTCTCAAATTTATTAATAAAGAATAACTCTAAATTTAAAAAGATCATATCGTCTGTATTTTTGAGGTTCATAAAATGATTTGTATGTTAAATTGAAGCTTAAAGATTCTCGTTTATGATATGATATAAAAACTATATGATGATATTAATGAAATTTCCAGAAAAAAATTATTAAAGAAGAAATTGCCAAATTTAGAAATCAAACATAATGCAAATTAAAAAAAAATCATATTGACTGTATTTTAAGAATCTTGATATGATATGTATGTTGAATTGAAGTTTAAAGATTCAAGTTTATGATACGATATAAAAATTATGAGATAATATTATTAAAATTTCCAGGAAAAAGTTATAAAAGAAGCAATTTTCAAATTTATGAATAAAAAATAACTCTAAATTTAAAAAAATCATATCAACTGTATTTTTAAGGTTCATGATATGATTTGTATGTTAAATTGAAGCTTAAAGATTCTCGTTTATGATATGATATAAAAACTATATGATGATATTAATGAAATTTCCAGGAAAAAGTTATAGAAAAAGCAATTCTCAAATTTATGAATAAAGAATAACTCTAAATTTAAAAAAATCATATCGACTGTATTTTTAAGGTTCATGGCATGATTTATATGTTAAATTGAAGCTTAAAGATTCTCGTTTATGATATGATATAAAAACTATGTGATGATATTAATGAAATTTCCTGTAAAAATTATTGTAGAAATTGTCAAATTTATAAATCAAACATAATGCAAGTTTTCAAAAAATCATATTAACTGTATTTTTAAGAATCTTAATATGATATGTATGTTAAAGTGAAGCTTAAAGATTCTAGTTTATAATATGATATAAAAATTATGAGATAATATTATTGAAATTGCCAGGAAAAAGTTATAAAAGTAGCAATTCTCACATTTATGAATAAAAAATAATTCTAAATTGAAAAAAAAATCATATCGACTGTATTTTTAAGCTTCATGATATGATTTGTATATTAAATTGAAGCTTCAAGATTCTCGTTTATGACAGGATATAAAAACTATATGATGATATTAATGAAATTTTCAGAAAAAAATTATTATAGAAATTGTCAAATTTATAAATCAAACATAATACAAATTTTCAAAAAATCATATTAACTGTATTTTTAAGAATCTTAATATGATATATATGTTAAAGTGAAGCTTAAAGATTCTAGTTTATAATATGATATAAAAATTATGAGATAATATTATTGAAATTGCTAGGAAAAAGTTATAAAAGTAGCAATCCTCAAATTTATGAATAAAAAATAATTCTAAATTGAAAAAAAAATTATATCAACTGTATTTTTAAGAATCTTGATATGATTTGTATGTTAAATTGAAGCTTAAAAATTCTAGGTTATGATACAATATAAAAATTATGAGATAATATTATTGAAATTTCCAGGAAAAAGTTATAAAAGGAGCAATTCTCAAATTTATGAATAAAAAATAACTCTAAATTAAAAAGAAATCATATCGACTGTATCTTTACGGTTCATGATATGATTTGTATGTTAAATTGAAGCTTAAAGATTCTCGTTTATGATATGATATAAAAACTATGTGATGATATTAATGAAATTTCCTGTAAAAATTATTGTAGAAATTGTCAAATTTATAAATCAAACATAATGCAAGTTTTCAAAAAATCATATTAACTGTATTTTTAAGAATCTTAATATGATATGTATGTTAAAGTGAAGCTTAAAGATTCTAGTTTATAATATGATATAAAAATTATGAGATAATATTATTGAAATTGCCAGGAAAAAGTTATAAAAGTAGCAATTCTCACATTTATGAATAAAAAATAATTCTAAATTGAAAAAAAAATCATATCGACTGTATTTTTAAGCTTCATGATATGATTTGTATATTAAATTGAAGCTTCAAGATTCTCGTTTATGACAGGATATAAAAACTATATGATGATATTAATGAAATTTTCAGAAAAAAATTATTATAGAAATTGTCAAATTTATAAATCAAACATAATACAAATTTTCAAAAAATCATATTAACTGTATTTTTAAGAATCTTAATATGATATATATGTTAAAGTGAAGCTTAAAGATTCTAGTTTATAATATGATATAAAAATTATGAGATAATATTATTGAAATTGCTAGGAAAAAGTTATAAAAGTAGCAATCCTCAAATTTATGAATAAAAAATAATTCTAAATTGAAAAAAAAATTATATCAACTGTATTTTTAAGAATCTTGATATGATTTGTATGTTAAATTGAAGCTTAAAAATTCTAGGTTATGATACAATATAAAAATTATGAGATAATATTATTGAAATTTCCAGGAAAAAGTTATAAAAGAAGCAATTCTCAAATTTANTGAAAAAATTATATCAACTGTATTTTTAAGAATCTTGATATGATTTGTATGTTAAATTGAAGCTTAAAAATTCTAGGTTATGATACAATATAAAAATTATGAGATAATATTATTGAAATTTCCAGGAAAAAGTTATAAAAGGAGCAATTCTCAAATTTATGAATAAAAAATAACTCTAAATTAAAAAGAAATCATATCGACTGTATCTTTACGGTTCATGATATGATTTGTATGTTAAATTGAAGCTTAAAGATTCTCGTTTATGATATGATATAAAAACTATGTGATGATATCAATGAAATTTTCAGAAACAAGTTATTAAAGAAATAGTCAAATTTATAAATTAAACATAATGTCAAATTGTCAAAAAATCATATTGGCAGTATTTTTAAGAATCTTGTAATAATATGTATGTTAAATTGATGCTTAAAGATTCTAGTTTATGATATGATATAAAAATTATATGATGATATTATTGAAATTTCCAGGAGAAAGTTATAAAAAAAGCAATTCTCCAATTTATGAATAAAAAATAACTCTAAATTTAAACATATCATATCGACTGTATTCTTAAGGTACATGATATGATTTGTATGTTAAATTGAAGCTTAAAGATTCTAGTTTATAATATGATATAACAATTATGAGATAATATTATTGAAATTTCCAGGAAAAAGTTATAAAAGCAGCAATTCTCAAATTTATGAATAAAAAATAATTCAAAATTGAAAGAAAAATCATATCGACTGTATTTTTAAGCTTCGTGATATGATTTGTGTGTTAAATTGAAGCTTCAAGATTCTCGTTTATGACAGGATATAAAATCTATATGATGATATTAATGAAATTTCCAGAAAAAAATTATTATAGAAATTGTCAAATTTATAAATCAAACATAATACAAATTTTCAAAAAATCATATTAACTGCACTTTTAAGAATCTTGATAGGATATGTATGTTAAATTGAAGCTTAAAGATTCTAGATTATGATACGATATAAAAATTATGAGACAATATTATTGAAATTTCCAGGAAAAAGTTATAAAAGAAGCAATTCTCCAATTTATGAAAGAAAAATAACTTTAAATTAAAAAAAATCATATCGACTGTATTTTTAAGATTCATGATATGATTTGTATGTTAAATTGAAGCTGAAAGATTCGCGTTTATGATATGATATAAAAACTATAAGATAATATTGAAATCTCCAGCAAAAATCCATCTTGAAAATATGTTAGATCAAAAGATCGGATATAAGAACATTCCATTTAAACAAAATTTCAGAAAGTTGATGCAATAAAACTAAAAGAAAACATGGTGTTGCTGACTTTTTGACGGATACTGTATATAATTTTTTATAAACACAATTTTCTGCCAAACAGAATTCTTTATTATTGTCTTTCATGCCATTTTCCAATTCAATATTACAATAAAAAGATAATGAAATAGTAGTAGTACATTAAAGATTATCTTTTGATGGTTTGAAAAATCGATTAAAACTCGTTTTGTTTTGCCAGTTCCGGATGCTAATCAAGTCCATTTGCAATTCATCCCGACAGCAAAACAACCGGACCGCTTCGGAACTAATCCATGTCTTAATGGACTGAGCTGCCATTGCCCCAGTTTTCGTCCCCTAACTCTTTAAGCTCTCTTTTCAATTCAAACCGAACGAGGAAATAAAATTTTTATCACGTACCACTCCTTTACTTCTCAAAATAACCCGGTTTAATTATAAAATTGCGTTTTTTATGGAATTTACAATTTTTTTTCTGTTTTTTTTTAGGTAGTTCAAGAATATGAAAGAGCGGTCATTTTTAGGCTTGGTCGTCTTTTATCTGGCGGGGCAAAAGGACCTGGTAAGAAATTTATTTCAAAATTAATAATCTTCGTGATAAATCTCAAATGAATAATTTCAATTGAGTGGGTTGTATGATATTGAATTAACCGGGTAAAATTGAAGCACACAGAACTAATTAAACTGCATGCGAAATCGTCAGGGTTTCCGAAGCACTTCCGGGCATTGTGTCTCAAAACCGACGTCGGTCGCATAAAGGATGCACAAGTATACCGGGGGTGGTACTTCACAAAATAACAGCTCGCGTGGACGTATAAAGTGATATATGGAAGTTCGTACTTACTTCTAACTAGAAATGTTGTTTACGACTTTTAACTCCATAACGTTAAACGAATAAAAAGCTTGGTTTTTCAGGTTTGGAGCTTATTCCCCGTAACTCTGAAATCGTTTCAGAATTCGTTGAGATTGTTCATTTGAATAACGCAGTTTGCAAATTGCCAGAGAATTACTCTAGTTCCAGATTATGAAATGAAGTATTCCATTGTTATTAAAATTAACTTATCGCAATTAAATAGTTCTATTCTAAAGCATTAATTTAAATTTTATGCAAATGCACGTATCGTACAAGTTATTTGAATGTCTCTGCGAAATGAATTAAGCAATGTCGAGCTATATTAATTAAGAAATTTAACGTATTAAAATTAACTACGTGTTATACAGAGTTAATAAAGCATTCTAGAAAATCAATCTTTCATGGCGTCCTTATATTGATATAAATCGTTAACTACAATGTGTTCCAATACTTTGGGTAATAGTAAAGAATACGACCTGATTGGTCTTCTGGGTGGTAGAACTTCAACATTTTATTTATCTTCTAAAGGCAAAAATTAAAAAATTTGAGAATGTACAACAAATTTGAAATGTACAAAATGTAATAAAATATAATATAGCGAATTTGCATAATTATATACATTCTCTAATAAAAAGATAAATAGAACGATGAACGACGGTGAACGACGGTGAATAGAACGATAGAAGATAGATGTTTCAATAAATGCTCGGATTTATCAAGTTTATAAATCGTTCTTGAGGAAGTCTCCTCTTCTAACAACTCCAAACATGTAAACAAAATCATATTGACTGTATTTTTAAGAATTTTGATATGAAATGTATGTTAAATTGAAGCTTAAAAATTCTAGTTTAAGATACGATATAAAAATTATGAGATAATATTATTGAAATTTCGAGGAAAAAGTTATAAAAGGAGCAATTCTCAAATTTATGAATAAAAAATAACTCTAAATTTAAAAAGATCATATCGACTGTATTTTTAAGGTTCATGATATGATTTGTATGTTAAATTGAAGCTTAAAGATTCTGGTTTATGATATGACATAAAAGTTATATGATGATATCAATGAAATTTCCAGAAAAAAATTATTAAAAAATGGTCAAATTTATAAATCAAACATAATGCAAATTTTCAAAAAATCATATTAACTGTATTTTTAAGAATCTTGATATGATATGTATGTTAAAGTGAAGCTTAAAGATTCTGGTTTATGATATGATATAAAAACTATATGATGATATTAATGAAATTTCCAGAAAAAAATTATTAAAGAAGAAATTGTCAAATTTATAAATCAAACATTATATCAAATTTTCAAAAAATCATATTGACTATATTTTTAAGAATCTTGTAATAATATGTATGTTAAATTGAAGCTTAAAGATTCTAGTTTATTATATGATATAAAAATTATGCGATAATATTATTGCAATTTCCAGAAAAACGTTATAAAAGAAGCAATTCTTCAATTTATGAATAAAAAATCTCTAAATTAAAAAACATCATATCGACTGTATTTTTAAGGTTCATGATATCATTTGTATGTTAAATTGAAGCTTAAAGATTGTCGTTTATGATATGATATAAAAACTATATGATGATATTAATGAAATTTCCAGAAAAAAATTATTAAGGAAGAAATTATCAAATTTATAAATCAAACATTATGTCAAATTTTCAAAAAATCATATTGACTATATTTTTAAGAATCTTGATATGATATGTAGGATAAATTAAAGCTTAACGATTCTAGTTTATGATGTGATATAAAAATTATGAGATAATATTATTGAAATTTCCAGGAAAAAGTTATAAAAGAAGCAATTCTCAAATTTATGAATATAAAATAGCTCTAAATTAAAAAAAAATCATATCGACTGTATTTTTAAGGTTCATGATATCATTTGTATGGTAAATTGAAGCTTAAAGATTCTCGTTTATGATATGATATAAAAACTATATGATGATATTAATGAAATTTCCATAAAAAAATTATCATTGAAGAGATTGTCAAATTTATAAATCAAACATACTGTCAAATTGTCAAAAAATCATATTGACAGTATTTTTAAAAATCTTGTAATAATATGTATGTTAAATTGAACCTTAAAGATTCTCGTTTATGATATGATATAGAAACTATATGATAATATTAATGAAATTTCCAGGAAAAAGTTATAAAAAAAATGCAATTCTCCAATTTATGAATAAAAAATAACTCTAAATTTAATAACAATTGTAGACCTTTTTGTAAAGAATTTGGATAATCTTGGATCATGCGTTTTATCTTCGAGATAGAAGTCAGGGGAAGAAATTTAAATCAGCAATCATTTTCTTACTTCAGGTTTAGTAACTCTTGATGTAAAAGCTTTCTCTCTCACAACCAGCAAGATTCTTTTAGACAAAAAATCACACGGTGTCTAATCGAAGTTTCTCGCAATCCAAGAAATTGATCCTTCTTTATCTTTCCATCTATTCGGTTAAGTCTCGTTCAATTATTGGCTTATAGCCCACACCATACCATCGTGACACTACGTTGGTCGAAGTGTTAGATTTTTTTCTAGAAAACTAAGTATCTCTTCTTTATCTTTGTGGCAAAACCTTTCCGACGACTTCCGGAGACCAAATAAAGCTTTGGATTCTAGATATGTTATTGAGACACGATTAAATCCGCGTAGAAAAGAACACTAGAAAAAGGATATCATTTAAAACATAGAAATTTCAATAAATTTTAATAAACAATAGTATAGCCCAGGGCTTAATTGCTTTGTGTTGGATCTGGTTTCAGTGGATGTGCATATTTCGGTGTGGAAGAGCTAGATTGAGTTGAACTATTTAAATAAGTAAAGTTTATACATACATATAATGTTGAAATAAGCTGTAAAGCATATGAGTTCGTTTTGATGATGTGCCTGGTTTAGAAATAAATAAATTGAATTGGGTTTGGAAAAAAAAATGTTAGGGGTCTTTTATAAGCCTGTACTTGGAAGTTTAGATATATGAGATGGTGAATATGCATAGAAAGAAAAGTGAGAGAAAATGAGAAAGTGGAGAGATTCTGAAAGAATGATATTAAGATTTGGTGGGATGCAGCCTAATATACTGAGTTGTAACAACAACTGGAACTTAGCAAAAAAGGCTAACAGGTGTTTTTTTCTGGAAGAAAACCCCTCATTGTCAACCCAACCCAATATTTTGTTTTAGCTTTACTTTATGCTTATCTCATAAAGGGCATGATGAGGATTTAGTACTGTTTTTAGTTTAACCTTACCATTGCATGCACATCAGATGAAGTAGTGTATTCGATATAGTTGCCTCATTCCGATATGCAACATCCCCGTGCACTAACTTTTAGCTATTTATCGCATAGTCTCAGAGTCCAACCACGTCCTGAGAAGTTTCGGCAAAACAAAATATTACATTATCTCTTCCAATCCTTGACTACATAAGATAGGCAGTACTTTGACTATCCAGGATTGTTAAGTCATGATCTAGCGTGGATGCAAGAAGATCAAGTACTCACCCTCTTTAGTTAAGGAGACGTCAGTGTCGTTTCTTAAAAGTGTAGTAGCACACTGTTCGTCGATTGCAGTCACCAAGAAGATTAACTGCTTTACTTGAAGCTTACTTGAATTTCTGTACTATGACTTGGAGAATTTTGGGCAAAAATAATGATTCTAGGAATACAATCTTATAGACTTTGGTAAACTTCTCGAGCTTTGTTTCCCAAGCTTCCATAAGAAGAGCAAGGACGAATCATTACATGTAAAATTACAGAGCTCAACATCCGGTGAAGTGGGGAGTAAGAAAATTCGTTGAAAATGTTTCTATTTAATATCGTTTTGGACGAAGCGGTTTCTAAGATTAATTCTGGAAATTCTATCAGTGACGAGGTGAGAGTCGCTGCTATTAAATTAGCCGACGATCTCGTGCAGATACAGAACTCTGAAATCGATGTCTAACACTTTCAATTTAGTGACTCGATTTTTTATGGAAGTAGATGAACTTGAAGAATTAGCCATCTGGTTGTTGACTTTTCTGCACTCACGGGGAGAAATCTTTGCTAGAAATGAAATGCTAGAAATCATTTACAAATTTTGTTTAATTTTTGTTGTTAAGCTTATAATTTTATTAATAAACGCTGTTGTTTTCAAAACGATTTGCTAATACGCCGATTTATTACGATTTTTTGACGTTGATCCTAATTGATCCAGAGAAGTGAGAAGAACAGATTGATGTTTAAGAGTTGATATCTCAAGAATTAAAAGATATTTTAGAAAACGATCTGTTTCGTTGAAAAGCTTATAATTTCATTAATAAACACTGATGGTTTCAAATCGATTTGTTAATATTCCGATTTATTACGATTTTTTGAATTTGACCCAAATTAATCCATAGAAGTATGAATAATACAGATTGATGTTTAAGTGTTGATATCTCAAGAAGTAAAAGATATTTTAATAAACCGTCTTTTTCGTTGAAAAGCTTATAATATTATTAATAAACGCTGATAGTTTCAAAATGATTTATTAATATTCCGATTTATTATGATTTTTTGAAGTTGACCAAAATCAATCCATAAAAGTGAGAATAAAACAGGTTGATGTTTAAGAGTTGATATCTCAAGAACTAAAAGATATTTTAGAAAACGGTCTTTTTTGTTGAAAAGCTTATAATTTTGTTAATAAACGCTGATGGTTTCAAAATGATTTATTAAAATTCCAATTTATTACGATTTTCTAAACGTGACCCAAGTTAATCCATAGAAATGAGAATAAAACAGATTGATATTTAAGAGGTGATATCTCAAGAACCAAAAAATATTTTAAAAAACGGTTTGTTTTGCTGAAAAGCTTATAATTTTATTAATAAACGCTGATGGTTTCAAAACTATTTGTTAATATTCCGATTTATTACGATTTTTTGAAGATGACCCAAATTAATGCATAGAAGTGAGAATAATACAGATTGATGTTTAAGAGTTGATATTTCAAGAACTAAAAGATATTTTAAAAAACGGTTTATTTTGTTGAAAAGCTTATAATTTTATTAATAAACGCTGATGGTTTCAAATCGATTTGTTAATATTCCGATTTATTACGATTTTTTGAATTTGACCCAAATTAATCCAAAGAAGTATGAATAATACATATTGATGTTTAAAAGTTCGTATCTCAAGAACTAAAAAATATTTTAATAAACGGTCTTTTTCGTTGAAAAGCTTATAATATTATTAATAAACGCTGATAGTTTCAAAATAATTTATTAATATTCCGATTTATTATGATTTTTTGAAGTTGACCAAAATCAATCCATAAAACTGAGAATAAATCAGGTTGATATTTAAGAGTTGATGTCTCAAGAACTACAAGATATTTTAGAAAACGAGCTTTTTTGTTGAAAAGCTTATAATTTTATTAATAAACGCTGATGGTTTCAAAACTATTTGTTAATATTCCTATTTATTACGATTTTTTGAAATTGACCCAAATTAATTCATAGAGAATAATACAGATTGATGTTTAAGGGTTGATATCTCAATAACTAAAAGATATTTTACAAAACGGTCTTTTTTGTTGAAAAGCTTATAATTTTATTAATAAACGCTGATGGTTTCAAAATGATTTATTAAAATTCCTATTTATTACGATTTTCTAAAGGTGACCCAAGTTAATCCATAGAAATGAGAATAAAACAGATTGATGTTTAAGACTTGATATCTCAAGAACCAAAAGATATTTTAAAAAACGGTTTGTTTTGTTGAAAAGTTCACTCATTTTTTTTAACTCCTCCATTATTTATTTCATTTACAAATTTTGTTTAATTATATGGTCAAAGTGTGGAATTTAATCGATAACGTGGAAATATGCAATTAATCACATATAATTAATAACATTAATTAATAACTTTAATTACTGAATTTTAGATATTAAATATTTTATGTCAACCTAACAATCTAAAACAAGAAAAGGGATCGTTCTTGATGAATCCCATCGGGATGACGAGGAACCTTTTGAATAAGTAAACCAATAAATGGGGGAGAATTTCCTATAAAAAAATTACAGGGTTTCCTTCTATACATTTTAAAGGTTTTTAAGACTCCAATTTTATTCCGATTGAGAAATACATTTTACAGGTTGCTTTTAATGGACAGAATCTTTTTGATCTTTAATTTTTTTTCTCATTTCTTTGTCGTTGAAATCTGCTTGTGATATTGAATTCAACATCATGGGTTTAGCTCCGTTTTAATTATAAAAGTCCATTTTAATTATACATGAAGCAATAACAAACTATTTAGGATTAACTAAGTAAATTAATCAAGATAATTCTTTTCCAGGAATATTTTTCATCTTACCCTGCATCGATGCATACGCCCGAGTTGATTTAAGAACCAGAACTTACGATATTCCACCTCAAGAGGTTTTTATTAATTGAATCTTAAACAAATTGGGGTAATTTTATTTCATTTTAGGTTTTAACCAAAGATAGTGTTACAGTTTCCGTTGACGCCGTCGTTTATTATCGAGTTTCAAACGCGACCGTATCGATTGCAAACGTTGAAAATGCTCATCATTCAACGAGATTACTCGCGCAAACCACCTTAAGGAACATCATGGGTCAAAGGCCTTTACACGAACTCTTAAGCGAACGCGAAAGTATTTCTCAACATATGAAATCCCTTTTGGATGAAGCAACAGATGCTTGGGGAATAAACGTTGAAAGAGTTGAAATGTGAGTTTATTTATTTTGTGTAATAATTATTTAAAAAAAATTTGTTATTTTTAGAAAAGACGTTCGTTTACCAATTCAACTTCAAAGAGCTATGGCGGCTGAAGCTGAAGCCGCCAGAGAGGCTCGCGCTAAAGTCATCGCGGCTGAAGGAGAACAAAAAGCTTCGAGAGCTTTGAGGGAAGCTTCCGAAGTTATTGGGGATTCACCTGCTGCTTTACAATTACGTTATTTGCAGGTAAAAAAATATTTTGATGGATTATTGTTGTTTAAATTGAGCTTGAAATTTAAAAATCTTTAGCTTTTTAATGCTTTGGGCATTTTTGTAATTTGAGTTGCTATTCACTTAAATGAGCTAACTAATTAAAATTCTGATTAGGTTGGGTAAAAGTTATGATTTATGTTGAGTATTTAATAACGTTGTAATTAATATTGAAAACGATTTGATTGATTGAGCGACTATTAAACGAACATCGAAAACGTTCATTTCCAACAAAAAATAAATATATTTCGACCCAGTTTCCGTTCTGGCTAAATCTATATTTAACGTTTCGCATCCATTTGGATTAAATAACTTTTTTAATCAATCAACAACTTTCAATTTGCAATCAATAAAATTGCATGGTGATATTAAAATTTATATTTTAATTATTTAGACTTTAAATACGATTTCGAGCGAGAAAAACTCAACAATCGTCTTTCCGTTACCAATCGACATTCTTCAGTTCTTTATGAACAATAAAGAGCAACAACTCCAACAGAAATTGCAACAAATGCAACAAATGTTATTGCATCAAAACAACGTCGATAGTTTGTAAAAAAGATATCGTGGTGAGGATGAAATCAAAATATCTTTTTTTTGTATTAAGATTAATGGATTAATTATAAGTCAATTTTTATCTTGAATCGAAATTGTTATAAAAGAAAAGAAATTTTAATCAAGTTGTATTATTAAAAAAAAGTTATAATTAAGATGCACTACAAATGCACATTTTTAGATATTATTTCGAAATAGAAAAACTAGTCATCAAAAGAAAACGTTCATATCTACTTACATAAAATAATCATTATTTCGTGTAGCGTCTTTAAAAATTAAAAAAAAAAATTGATGTCGTCACTTAGATGTTGTATTTAAAGATATGTAATTTATTTTTATTCTTTTCGAATTAATCTTACTTGAAATACTGCTCAAAACTAAACGAAGAATCAAAAGGAATTCTTCGAGACTTTTTAAACAAAACGAAACAAAAAAATGTTTGCAACCAATACGAATTTAATTGTTGTATAGAAAGTGTTGAAAATAATTTTTTTTATAAAATTGCACTTTATCAACACGAAATGTATTATTTTTTTTAGATAAAGAATTCATTCACGTGTAAGACTGAATTTATTATTGAAATATTTATTGAATTAATTAAAAAATAAAAATTTTAAATAGAGTGTGTCCGTAAAGTCGTGGTGCACTTTTCACCGGGCATACTAAAGGAACAAAGCAAGATAGAAATGTGAAATTTTCACCAAATAAAAGAAAAACTCTTCTAGTTTCTTACCTGTTCAATGTAATTTGCTGTGGAGTTCATTTTTTGTTCTACACATATGTCGAAGTTAATTCATAAAAGTTAGAACAAAACAGAGTGATGTTTAAGAGTTGAAATCTCAAGAACTAAAAGATATTTTAGAAAACGGTCGTTTTTGTTGAAAAGCTTATAATTCCATTAATAAACACTGATGGTTTCAAATCGATTTGTTAATATTCCGATTTATTACGATTTTTTGAATTTGACCCAAATTAATCCATAGAAGTATGAATAATACAGATTGATGTTTAAGTGTTGATATCTCAAGAAGTAAAAGATATTTTAATAAACCGTCTTTTTCGTTGAAAAGCTTATAATATTATTAATAAACACTGATAGTTTCAAAATGATTTATTAATATTCCGATTTATTATGATTTTTTGAAGTTGACCAAAATGAGTCCATAAAAGTGAGAATAAAACAGGTTGATGTTTAAGAGTTGATATCTCAAGAACTAAAAGATATTTTAAAAAACAGCCTTTTTTGTTGAAAAGCTTATAATTTTGTTAATAAACGTTAATGGTTTCAAAACGATTTGTTAATATTCTGATTTATTACGATTTTTTGAAATTGACCCAAATTAATACACAGAAGTATGAATAATACAGATTGATGTTTAAAAATTCATATCTCAAGAAGTAAAAGATATTTTAATAAACCGTCTTTTTCGTTGAAAAGCTTATAATATTATTAATAAACGCTGATAGTTTCAAAATGATTTATTAATATTCCGATTTATTATGATTTTTTGAAGTTGACCAAAATCAATCCATAAAAGTGAGAATAAAACAGGTTGATGTTTAAGAGTTGATATCTCAAGAACTAAAAGATATTTTAGAAAACGGTCTTTTCTGTTGAAAAGCTTATAATTTTGTTAATAAACGTTGATGGTTTCAAAACAATTTGTTAATATTCTGATTTATTACGATTTTTTGAAATTGACCCTATAATTCATAAAATGGGAATAATACAGATTGATGTTTAAGTGTTGATATCTCAAGAATTAAAAGATATTTTAGAAAAGGGTCCTTTTCGTTGAAAAGCTTATAAATTTATTAACAAACGCTAATGGTTTCAAAACGATTTGTTAATATTCGGATTTATTACGATTTTTTGTATTTGACCCAAATTAATGCATAGAATTGAGAATAATACTGAGTGATGTTTAAGAGTTGATATCTCAAGAACTAAAAGGTATTTTAATAAACTGTCTTTTTCGTTGAAAAGCTTATAATTTCATTAATAAACGCTGATGGTTTCAAAACGATTTGTTATTATTCCGATTGATTACGATTTTTTGAAGTTGACCAAAATTAATGCATAGAAATGAGAATAATACAGATTGATGTTTAAGAGTTGATATCTCAAGAACTAAAAGATATTTTAGAAAACGGTCTTTTTCGTTGAAAAGCTTATAATTTTATTAATAAACGCTGATGGTTCCAAAACTATGTGTTAATATTCCGATTGATTACGATTTTTTGAAGTTGACCAAAATTAATGCATAGAAATGAGAATAATACAGATTGATGTTTAAGAGTTGATATCTCAAGAACTAAAAGATATTTTGGAAAACGGTCTTTTTCGTTGAAAAGCTTATAATTTTATTAATAAACGCTGATGGTTTCAAAACGATGTGTTAATATTCCGATTTATTACGATTTTTTGAAGTTGACCCTATAATTCATAAAATGAGAATAATACAGATAGATGTTTAAGTGTTGATATCTCAAGAACTAAAAGATATTATAGAATACGGTCTTTTTCGTTGAAAAGCTTATAATTTCATTAATAAATGCTGATGGTTTCAAAACGATATGTTAATATTCGGATTTATTACGATTTTTTAAGGTTGACCCAAATTAACTCATAGAATTGAGAATAATACAGAGTGATGTTTAAGAGTTGATATCTCAAGAACTAAAAGGTATTTTAATAAACGGTCTTTTTCGTTGAAAAGCTTATAAATTTATTAATAATCGCTGATGGTTTCAAGACGATTTGTTAATATTCGGATTTATTACGATTTTTTCAAGTTAACCCAAATTAACTCATAGAATTGAGAATAATACAGAGTGATGTTTAAGAGTTGATATCTCAAGAACTAAAAGATATTTTAATAAACGCTCTTTTTCGTTGAAAAGCTTATAATTTTATTAAAAATCGCTGATGGTTTCAAAACGATTTATAAATATAGCAATTTATTACGATTTTTTGTATTTGACCCAAATTAATCCATAAAAGTGAGAATAATACAGATTGATGTTTAAGAGTTGATATCTCAAGAACTAAAAGGTATTTTAATAAACGGTCTGTTTCGTTGAAAAGCTTATAATTTTATTAATAATCGCTGATGGTTCCAAAACTATGTGTTAATATTCCGATTGATTACGATTTTTTGAAGTTGACCAAAATTAATGCATAGAAATGAGAATAATACAGATTGATGTTTAAGAGTTGATATCTCAAGAACTAAAAGATATTTTAGAAAACGGTCTTTTTCGTTGAAAAGCTTATAATTTTATTAATAAACGCTGATGGTTTCAAAACTATGTGTTAATATTCCGATTGATTACGATTTTTTGAAGTTGACCAAAATTAATGCATAGAAATGAGAATAATACAGATTGATGTTTAAGAGTTGATATCTCAAGAACTAAAAGATATTTTAGAAAACGGTCTTTTTCGTTGAAAAGCCTATAATTTTATTAATAAACGCTGATGGTTTCGAGACGATTTGTTAATATTCGGATTTATTACGATTTTTTGTATTTGACCCAAATTAATGCATAGAAGTGAGAATAAAACAGATTGATGTTTAGGAGTTGATATCTCAAGAAGTAAAAGATATTTTAGAAAACGGCCTTTTTCGTTAAAAAGCTTATAATTTTATTAATAAACGCTGATAGTTTCAAAATCATTTATTAAAATTCCAATTTATTACGATTTTTTGAAGTTGACCCAAATTAACTCATAGAATTGAGAATAATACAGAGTGATGTTTAAGAGTTGATATCTCAAGAACTAAAAGGTATTTTAATAAACTGTCTTTTTCGTTGAAAAGCTTATAATTTCATTAATAAACGCTGATGGTTTCAAAACAATGTATTAATATTCGGATTTATTACGATTTTTTGAAGTTGACCCAAATTAACTCATAGAATTGTGAATAATACAGAGTGATGTTTAAGAGTTGATATCTCAAGAACTAAAAGGTATTTTAGAAAACGGCCTTTTTCTTTGAAAAGCTTATAATTTCATTAATAAATGCTGATGGTTTCAAAACTATTTCTTAATATTCCGATTTATTACGATTTTTTAAAGTTGACCCAAATTAATTCATAGAATGAGAATAATACAGATTGATGTTTATTTAAGTGTTGATATCTCAAGAACTAATAGATATTTTAATAAACTGTCTTTTTCGTTGAAAAGCTTATAATTTTATTAATAAACGCTGATGGTTTCAAAACGATGTGTTAATATTCCGATTTATTACGATTTTTTGAAGTTGACCCTATAATTCATAAAATGAGAATAATACAGATAGATGTTTAAGTGTTGATATCTCAAGAACTAAAAGATATTTTAGAAAACGGTCTTTTTCGTTGAAAAGCTTATAATTTTATTAATAAACGCTGATGGTTTCAAAACGATGTGT